TCAGAGGGAGACATCATCAGCAAGCTTAAGTGCTGGTATCTTATTTATAAGCTAGTAATATTAATGCTCTCAGGGCAAAGGGAAAGCTGAGCTCTCTTTAAAGCTTTTTATTTCCATAGAAATCTAATAAAGCCAGCACTTTTAGTCAAAGCTTATTTTCAATAGGCATAAAAGATTGTTCCTTAGAAACTCCAGAACTATGTGGTATGGACTTAACAACTTTCATCTTTTCAAGGAGTGACTGGAAATTAATAAATGACAGCATTAAGTATTTTTAACCAACAGTTCTACCAGATGCTCAGTATGAGAAATCTTCTTAGATTAACATAGCAAGTGAAATATAATTTGATAAACAATTCTAAAATTTAATAGATTTATAGGAACTGTCCAGCAAGGAACATATTTATGGGCATTTCTGCTGTACCATAATGGCAAACACTCTACAGTTCTCCACAGTCCAGATTGAATAAGGTTTTGTTTCATTTAATAGTTTCAGAGCCTCTGCATAATAAACAGCAATTTTGACAGGTACTTTTCATTTTTAAAATCCAGGGTATGTAGGTGGGTGGAAAAGCTTTCTGGCCTCCCAGGAATTTATAGTTACAATTTGATGTTGGTTGTTCTGCAGGGGTTAGTGCTGTCTCCATTAGTGTCAAAATCAGCGGCAAATATCACATTTCTGGATGACAATAAAGCAAAGAGAATAATTCTTGCTGCTAAAGTACCAGGACTTTAAAACGTTCATATTTATGAGGTGAGGCCGCACAGGAATGCAGGCAAGTAAAGAAGAACGAATGCTCTTTCTGGTGTGTTTTATATCACTATCATAAAGCTTAACAATATTTAATCCTGAACTTATTACCTGACAGCTGAGCAAAAATTATTGTGATCACTACATTCTTATTTATCACTTGGACTGCTCTTAAGTGTACAAAGTGCTAGGAAATGGATAGCTTGTTTATCCTGTGAGGTAAGCTGCTTGTATACCACTCAATTTTCAAAAGGGGAGGATTGCAGATGATAATGGGGGCATCCTGGCTGGTAATACTTGGGAACCCATGTTCCCCATAAATGAATCCAAAAAGCTATTCCTTGTTCTCCACAGGATTCCAGATGTTTGTACTATCAGAAAGCCAGGCTCTCGGCTGACTTTCAGCCAGTTTATACACATGCTTATTTCACAGTAAGCCGCATTGATTTCAATTCTTGTCTAACATGTCAATAGAGCATCAAAGTGTACAAAATGGCATATAATTCTATGCAATCTGTTCACACAGCATCCTATAGGATAGGGTGGGCTGTGAGAGAGTGAAACCCAGGCTAGCTGGGGAACTCTGGGGCTGCCACCTCCTACATTTAAGCAAACATCTAAGTTCATTAGCTCTGGCCATGTCAATTGAATTGGCTAACATATAATTTCATTTTGACCAAGGTGTTGAGTTGTGATCATGAGTACATGATCCCATATTTAGAAGTAAGTTTCATTTACGACATCTACCGGTACTTAAATTTTTTGAAAAAGTTCAGCTGTACTGCAACCCAATTTGAAGCTTGGGCCCATGTATAAAAGTAAAGGTAAAGGGACCCCTGACCATTAGGTCCAGTTGTGACGGACTCTGGGGTTGCGGCGCTCATCTCGCTTTATTGGCCGAGGGAGCCGGCATACAGCTTCCGGGTCATGTGGCCAGCATGACTAAGCCGCTTCTGGCGAACCAGAGCAGCGCACGGAAACACCGTTTACCTTCCCGCCGGAGCGATACCTATTTATCTACCTGCACTTTGATGTGCTTTTGAACTGCTAGGTTGGCAGGAGCAGGGACCGAGCAACGGGAGCTCACCCCGTAGTGGGGATTCGAACCGCCAACCTTCTGATTGGCAAGTCCTAGGCTCTGTGGTTTAACCCACAGCGCCACCCGTGTCCCAGTGGGCCCATGTATACCCTTTGCCAAATTTGTTGGCTCTGGCACCCAGGGTTGCCGACATAATCCCCTAAGGCCAGTACACTCCATCACCCCCAAATGAAGTCTTATTCCTGGGACATGACAACCCTCGAGCTCTCGGTGCCTCACAATCAGTTCACCTATGCCTTCCCTCATATATATATATATATCACTAAATTTACAAAGCACACACACTCAAAGTGATGTACCTTGTTGTATCTTCTTGACCACCTGACTAAAAATTACTTTTCAGATTGGCTGGCTGCAGGAAGATGAAAATGTGGCACAAGCTGATTTACTTTCTTTCAGCTATGTTGGTGGACTCTCATTGGTATATATTTCTCCCCAGAAACCGGAGCTTTTTTTCCCCAGCTGGAACTCGCCAGAACTCAGTTCCAGCACCTCTCAGGTGGGAGCCATTGCCATTCTAAGAGAATGGGGAAGATGTTTGTGGTGAGTTCTTTTTCAAGAAAAATGGCACTGCCAGAAACTAAGACGTGATCAGAGTCCGAGACACTCATTTGAATATGTACCTTGGCAAGCATAATTAAACAAAAATACTACTTGCGTACCACATGTCCTCACATCAAGCAATTTTAATAGCTGCTTAATAGCTGTTTAATTTTTAATGTACTACATCATTACAAGCATTTTACTTCACTGTCTTTCTTTTAACCCACTACCCAAGGGACTGTTAGGTGACCAGATTGAAATATCAATTGTAACACTAGTTTTATGCTTAAGAACAACTCATATTTATTCATTATCCTAAGAACCGAGTAAACAAAGCAAGGAACCCAGTCCACATAATTAAGAAAAAGTGTCAATGAAGTAGAAAAATAACTTCATCTAAGTATACAATTCTTTGACATAAGCCAAAAGACCCATAAACTTGATAAATGCCATGTCTCAGATGTCTTCTATGTCTACAATCCTATAGAATCTCAGCTGTGAAACTTGCCAACCATTTTAATTTGTTCCACAATCTCAGCTTTACAGCCACAAATTCAAGCCACAAATTTTAATATGTCAATATAAACTCTTTTATTAACGTGCACAGTTCTATATCTGAACTAGGCAGCATTCAACTTAATAAAGTTGAGACAAAAATCTATGTAGACTATATCAAATAACAATTGATATGTAGACAAAGTTCTGGCTGCATCAATGCCAGCTAGCTGCACAGGGACACAGCAATATTAGAAAATAAAATTATACACAAAGCCCTTAAACTTTGGTAATATGTTGGCCATTGTGTGATCTTTATTAAAGAGAAAATAAATGTGACTCAAACTTCCAGGTCATTTACTTGGCTTCATTGTCATCGATGTGAAGCCAATATTTAAAGATCAAACGTGAGATCTGAAAGGAAAGTCCAAATATATTGAGCAAAGAAATATAAAATGGAAGGAATCTGGTATCTACATGCATTTGTTCATATATTCTCTGGATTTCACCTGGATCCAAGAACTCGGCTGTGCATCTGAGGACTCCAACATAGAGAGCTGTGGGCAACAGCCAGAAGCAATGGGGGGGGGGCAACAGGGCTGCGTTGCTGACCTGACTCCCCAACACCATACATCACTGCCAGTTACCAAGAGAGGGAGGGGCAAGGCAGTGGGGAGCTGGGCGCAGTGAGCCAATTCAATGTCCATGATGTTGTATCTCACCACACCCTCTTGTAACCAGCAGCAACACACATCACTGGGAAGCCAGAACAGCGGTTCAGCTCTGCCCACCTCTGCCACCACCTACTGCAAACACCACCAGACCGTTTTTCTCCAAATGTCAGGAATCAGATGTATGTTAACTGTATTTGTGGAAAATGTATCAGTATTGAAAAGAATAGAGCTGAGATCCAGAGGTGCTTCAAAGGTCCAGGTGATTTTGAATCACTGCAAATCGGGGTTCGATCCACTTTGTGCACCGATTCAAAAATGTAAAACTTTTGCAACATGGTTTGAGTCTATATTTAATCTTACTGTTTTTCCTATGGGGTTGCACTGGCGAGGGGTGTATGGGGTGTTAGGGGATAGGTAGTGCCACTGGTTGGGGATGTGTCATGTTCCTTCTGGGATAGTTTGTCCATCTTTAGTCCCCAATTTGCACTCCCACTCTGAACTATCAGCCTGCCACTGTGACCACACTCTGGGAAATAGCTTTGACTGCCCAGCTAGACCAGGGGAGGGTAGCCGATGGGTCTCAAACCAGTGAATTAGGGACTTGTCTATCCCCTGCATGCAAAACCACACTCAGGTGGATTGAGCAGACAAGACCAATAGTGGGTCCAACGGACAAGAAGGCACCTACTGCATGTGGTATTGAGAGGAGTGTGGGGCACATGGGGCCCGTCAACCTGGGAAAGTAGCTCATCGAGGAGAAGGAAAACTCTGATCCTAAACCTCCGCTGCCTTGCAGAGAAACAAAGCCTAAGGAGCAAACCCTTCACAAATCTGGATGCTTGGATGGTACCTTGTCTGCCTCCTTCCAGCAACTGCTGCAGCCAAGCTGGTGCCAAATGTATTGCTCTGCTTTCCTTTGGACCACATCAGCAAGGCCAAAAGGGGGATCTTGTCATCTGGACAGCCCAGGACCTCCATACACACTGCCCAGGCTTGCGCCCTGGGAAGGTCACTTCATTGCTGCTAAACCCAGTGGTTTGACTTCAACCCCGGAGGTGCACTCCATTGTCTCTTGAGACAGACAGATGCCAACAACAACCTTCACTAGTGATGAGGATGGCTAAAATATCATGATCCAGTATCTACTGAAAAAGTTGAAAAATCTAGTATGTTGGATTGGATGTTCGCTGCAGACTGGCCCTCTGTGCATGTGCAATATCTGAACATAAAGAAAGCCCTCTAAGAGACAGCAGGGGATGGCCCACAAAAACCTCCCTCACCTGTTACTTTCTATATGTTTTTGACTACTAATATCGTCATGCTTCACCATTGGCCATTTGGCTGGGGCTGATGAAAGTTGCAATTCAAAACTCCTGAAGGGTTGGGGAAGGTTGGGGTACAGTAAGAAAAATAATACAATACAATACAGCACACTCACGTGGGTAATCTTTTGGATGCGACTTCTCCGACCAGTTACCATAAAACGTAAGCCTATATTTAGCAGTTCCACAGGCACAACAGTCTAAGATTGGTTTATCGGTGACACCATTCATGGCTGAATCTAAAAGGAAGCAAGAGAGGCCCTTATTTTACTGTATGGGTGATTTTGAAGGTGCAGCATTTGAATATGTTTTGTTAAAATTACAAACAAATCAACCCACAAGATGCACATGGGCTGGGAAGTTTAGATTTTTGCACATAAAGTTAGCACTATACATTGAGCTTCAGTTAAAGTCACATTTGCTGGATATTTCCTTCTTGATTTTATCATAATTTCTAGGCATACAAAACCATGCACCAAGATAGAATAACACCTGGACCAATCCAGTCCAATGGTGATGCCCCGTTCTTTTGGCAGCTTATGACAAATCCATGGGGGCATGTGTTAACACACTATTTCCAAACACATACAGAAGCTACAATTTCAGTTTGCTTGAATCAAATAGTTCCATTGCACCCTCATTGGAACATGTGAACATGTTTGTTCACATGTTCCAATTAACACAAGTAAAAGCTGTCTCTAAAGTCATACAAGTGTGAAAGAATGTTCATTTGTGCAGCCTCTGTACACAAGTGTACAGATAGTACAGCTGCTCAATGTAATGCGTGAACACCCCTATTGACTTGCCAACTTTTTCTTGTATTACAAATGAATGATAGTATATACTCCAAGGCATTTGTTCTAATATTTAATAACACTGCTGTAAAAAAAGTAGTACTGCAACCTGTTTAAATGCAAACAGCTTCCCTATTCCAGAAACAACCGGAATGTACTTTAAATTCTTGACATGCCCTTTTTGCTTTTAACGCTCTTTTCGATTTTTCTGTATTCAAGAACACGAAACAGATGTCTCAATTTCATTTACGTAACCTGCTCCAGTGACTTCATTGAACACATTCACCATTCACAGCATAAAGAGCTGTTTGAAATTGAACACAATCTGCATTTCTAAATGGACTAAGAAAGTGAAAGGCCTGGCCAGTGTCAAATATGCCATATTTATAAAATTCAATTAAGCATCTTACAGCACACACTTCAGTGTATATTGTTTTGAATTTTAAAAAGCCTATCAAAGTCAAGGCCAGATTATCCTAATCCTTGGGCCTAGGGAAAAAGATGAAGGCCAGGCCCTCTTGGCATTCTCTTAAATGTGGCGGTGTTTCCAAATTGGTGGGATGAAAGGGGCAGGAGTAAGACCATCTTCTAGCAATTATCTTTGCATTGCTGCACCAAGAAATTACCATTCTTTTCCAAGGAGGTCTGGGAATCATTCTCTGGAAGACTTCTGCATAAAATTTATGCAACTAGGATGTAATTTTAAAAGCAGTTACGCTCCAGAAGGGTGGGCATTTTGCAGCACTTCTAAGCACAAGTGTCTTCTCAGCTGAAAACATCATGAAAGAGGGTTTGAAGAAATCATTCCTTTCTGTTAAAGTACATCCTTGGACAAGAAGGGAAAGTTTCCTGCCAATATTCCCCTGTACTCTTTTCTTAGAAATTCTGCATGGCGACCGTACATATAGCACACCAAACGTATAGATGTCAGAAGGCGGAGATTGCTGGCATGATAATACTGGGGGCAGAGCCACCAGGCACCACTTTGAACTGGTTCACATACACCACTGTGCATAAAGATGACATGGTGAAGGGCATTACAGTAATGGGAATTCCATGCATGTGCTTCCAGTGTAATGTCTGAGACCGTAGCAGCTCCATGCAGTTCATGTGTGATCTTGGAAATTAGTGTGGAACAGTAGCTCATATAATACAATTCTGCAATTGATACTTGTACCCAGAGGCAGTTGGATAGGGTTCTGTTGAGGCTGTTGGTGTGATCCTAAGCCCACTGAATTTACAGGTTACCCTGAATGCAACAGGTCTTCCTTCCAAGAATATGCTTAGGATCTACGTAGATCAAAGTTGGGCTACACAGCCCTTTAAATCTGCTTAAGCTTCGGCAGCTTGGTGGCTGGTGCCAGAAGTAGCTAAAGCCTGGTCCGTTTCCTGGCATGAAGCATGTATTATGTGACTATCAAGCAGCTCCTTACATGTAAAATAAGCAGATGAACAGTTCAGGAATGCCCAGTCTTCAGGCTATTTATGTCATAATTAGATGGAAAATTGCAACCCGTCTTTTGACCACTTATATTTTTCTTTTAAAAATGCTCTAATTTACACAGTTACATTTGGTGCAAATGGCTTTCAGGCCTTGCCAACAATGTTGGCTGGGCAGGTGCAAAAGTGTAAAATCAGCTCAAAAGGCCCCATGGTGTACAGGTGGGGTTTAGGGACATTATCATGGTATCACTGTGGTTGTCATATGTTGCTGGCTTCCATGCATGGATAATGTGGGGATAATGTCTGTGCAGAATGCTACTGATTGGTGGTGACAGCAAGTGCAATGGGAGTTTCTGTTATTTTTTTCTATGTCATTTCTAACTTCTACTGGTATTTGTTTTGCTCTCTGTTTTTCTGCTGAGATTCATGTGACTACATTATTCCAGCATAATATTGGCATTCATGTAGGATCAGCCTGCTCAAGCCGAAACTTAATTATGTTTACTCCAAAACAGGTCCCATTTTTCCTTATAAATTAATTTCAGCCTCAAGGCCATCTTCTGGTCTTGTTAAGTTAGCCTGTTTTCCTTTGCCGGCATCCTAGAAATGAATTTTGCTCTAAGCCTAACAGACCTTGAACCCAACATATTTGCACCCACTGACTGAGTGAAGCACAGCGCTCATTTGTGTAGGCATGGATGTTTTTGCTATTCAGTTCTGAATTGTGTGGATGAACAATTTGGAAGCATAACTAGGTTTGCAACCTTGAAATTATCTCAATGAGCATTCAGCAAACCTTTCACATGAATAGCAAGGAAGACCAAACCTACACAGGTGAGAAGTGAGGCCTACTTGCTGATTACAAAAAGAGAATCTCCAAACCAATAGGACTTAAAGCAGCTTAATTTCAACTAACCTGTGCCCACCCTAACCAACAGAAAGAGATAGCTAACATATGCCAGACTTGTGTTTTTGATTAGTTACTCTGGAAGATCAAATCAACAGGTAAGAAGCAAATGAATGTGTCTCATACCTTGTTCACACAGCCTCTTGGTAAGCGATCCCTCATCTTGAAAATAGATAATTCGCTTTTGTACGATGCTTGCCCTGTTTGAGAGATGGAAACAATGTGTTCAGAAAATGTGCAGATGCAGCAGATAACATTTCCACCTCCCCTTAATACTAGGGTTGCCATATTTCAAAAAGTAAAAACCAGGACACCCTGAAAGTTGTTGAGCTTTTTAAAACAAAAATCCTGATAATCTGGACGTACGGCAGCCCTATTAACAATAGTAAGTCACCTCTGATCCGCACCAAGTTTATTGGGAGATAAGGTTCATGAGCTGGCATCCCCCACCCTCAATGAGCCATGCTATTGGTTGAGACTGTCAGAGATAGCTCAATCCATCAGTTGGTATGAAGGCACTGGACGGTCTTGAACAGAAGGAGACAATGTGATGCCCTCCAGATACTGTTGGAGTCCAGCTCTCATAATCTCTGGTTATTGACCATGTTGGCTGGGGTTGCTGAGAATTGGAGTCCAAAAATTTCTGGAGGTCACCACACTGAAGTTCTTGAGGGATAACAGGTCTTAAGGGATGCTTAGAGTAAGCAAAAAACACAGGAACATACATTTAATTAGTCCATCAGATACATCAAAAGTGGGAAATATCAGTTGGAACATACTGACTAAGATTGCAATTTCTAAGACAAGATGTCAGTTTTTCATCTTTCTTCCTCCTCTGTCAGAATCCAACTAAATCTGTAAGATGCTTTTTCATGCCCTACCTATCCATCATAACAAAAGTCTAACAAGAGCAAGTACAGCATTAGCTAATAGGTAAGAGGTTTAGCAATGAATCAGTAGCAGTTCCTTGGTCTCACCCTAAGTCATGCTAGGGGACCTTAGGTAAGCCACTCTTCCTCTACTCCCCAACTCTAAGAAGGGGATTATTTACACATTTGCTTTTTTTAGTAGTTCTATGTTGACTTCTTCTGTTCTTTGCCTACTACTATTAACATGCCCCTTTTACTCTCAGCGCCTCTCAGCAGCACTAGTTCATCATCTATTCACATGGGAAAATGAAAGATAAAACCAGTTTTCCAAGTTCCCAACTTGGCAACCCTATGTGGTGCTGAAGTTACCTGGCTCTTCCTGGAGTTCGCGAAACAAAACCACCAACGACAACAAGGAACCCAAAAGAGAAAGGAAAGGGATTCTGCAAACCTGGATTATGTAACTTTGAAAGAAAAATCTGCCAAAATATACTGCTTATATTTTGTGTTTGCCTCTAACTTTGGGCAGCCTTAAATTGGTGAATCTAGCATCTCAGAAAGATCAGACACTCATTTTGCAAAGTTCACTGAAGCTGAAGAATACAGAAGGCACAAAAATGGAACAGAAGAAGTAAGTGCAAGGAAAGATTCAAAAGTGCACTGCCTATCACTCCTTGGTCCTCAAAATTTCATTGACACCAGTGCTCTTTGCACTCTGTTGCAAATGCCAAAGTTGCTGCTCTGATCCCACACTGGCCAAGACCACATGGTCACAGAAAGACTTCTAAAAATGAAATCTCCAGAACAAATCAGGTGAAACATCCTTCCAATGTTTCATTTTTATAAAGTGTAATGTTAAAATGTTCCTGACTAACAGTTAGTTGACTTTTTAAAATATAGCAGCTGTAATTTTCTTCTCCTGCAATGTTCATTTTTTCCTAATTCAAATGAAATCTGTACATTTTGCATCCCTCCACCCCGACCCATAGCAACACACAAGAGAATTAAAATAAGCCACAGCATGCAATTCCTCTGGCACCCCTGGTTTTTCCTTTTTGCTGCACTAGCAAGGTTTCCGCAGGTCAAGACAACATGGAAATCTTGCTCTAAGGGTGCTTTGAGACTGTTGCTATTTTCAATCACATACTGGCAAATTCAGGTTGCACAATTAAAGTTGATTTGAAGGCCATGCACTACAAGCCCATTTCCCCCAAAGATCCCGTGTGTGTGTACGATAAGGAAAGCGATAGGAAAATGAAATGGAAAATGTGGGTTAACACTTGCTTGGTGCCGTGTCATGCAAACAAAGAAGAATGAATGCTCAATAAATAGCTAGTATTGTCTAACCTCCGTTCAAACAAATCAGGATGAATGCCCAGTAAGAAGATCATCTGGATGTGACCTGAATCTTAATAGCTGTGGCCACACAAGAGCCAAGTATGTTTTTCAGATAACAGCATGGAAGCTTACGGGGTTATTGTTTCTCTCTTTCTTACTCAATCTTGGGCTGTTCTCATTTGACTTTTAGCTGCCTGTTTCTACCATTACCATTAATCTTCAAATTATCAAGAGAGAGTGAGAAATGAAAGACTGTTCTTTAAAGTCTTGCAAATTTAAAAGCCCAGGAAGTAGAAGCAGCTACTATTTTAAAAATAAGTAAGTTATTTATACACATGTGTGCTTGTACACATTCATGAAAGGTTTCATTGGATTATGGCCAGTATATTTTATTCCAAGATTGTGGTGGGTTGGTGATTCTTCATTCTTCTCTTCTTTGGAAAAGAGGTCCCTTTTAAACATGGGGCCACCTGGTGGATTTAGTAGGCAAGGCAGCAAACAGAAATCAGACAAAAGCATATTGGCATGGCAGCTATGGCAACGGCTCACCTCTCCAGAATGGGTTTGGGAGAATGTGATGCTAATGACCAATACCAAGATGAAAGTCGAACAGGTTTGCATGTTGAGCAGGATGCTTTATGTAAGCGAGTCGTGAACAACTTACACCTGCCAGGAGTGACACCTCAATGCCTGTGCTGTATCAGAAAGATTGTGGACATCACATGGCCAGATAGAGTCTCATGCAAAGTTGTGCTGTCCTAAGACCACATTCCCAGCAAGTTCACACTCCTGTCTTAATGACATCTGCACTGGTTTGGTCACATGCACAAAAAGGAAGATGGCAGGATCCCCAATGACCTGAGGGTAGCAGGATTCAGACACTAGGCTTGTTGGCAGACCAACACGGCATTATAAAGATGTCTACAAGCATGGCATGAAGGCTGGCAACTTTAACCCCACCGCAAGGGAATCCCTTGCAGATGATCACAGTGCCTGGAGACAGACAGTCAGGTTGTGTATCCACAGCAATGACCAGAGGAGAAATGACCGCTGGGAGCAGCGCAGAGAGAAGAAACGCCATGACGCACCTGTAGCAGCAAAACTGGATGCCTTCAAACGCCCCACCTGCAATAAAACATGTCTCTCCTGTATCATTCTCTACAGCCACAGCAGATGCTGTAACTCTCCTACTGTTTGACTTCACCCCACTGTCACCCGAGACAGACAGATGCCAACAACAGCAACAACAACCACCTCACAGGATTGTTGTGGGGATTAATTCAGATGGGGGAAACTATGTATACCATCTTGAGCTCCTTTGAGAAATGAAAGCAAAAAAACAAACAAACAAACAAACAAACAAATAAATAAATGAGAGCAACTATATAGCTAACCTGACACAACAGCCACCACCCCAGACATACAACAAACCATACTGCAACTAATCAAGCACATCCAACCGAACCCTGGATCCTCCAATCTCTCACGACACCACTAAAAACAAATACAGTGGTACCTTGGGTTACAAACGCTTCAGGTTACAGACGCTTCAGGTTACAGACTCCGCTAACCCAGAAATAGTACCTCAGGTTAAGAACTTTACCTCAGGATGAGAACAGAAATCACGCGGCAGCAGCAGGAAGCCCCATTAGCTAAAGTGGTACCTCAGGTTAAGAACAATTTCAGGTTAAGAATGTACCTCCAGAACGAATTAAGTTCTTAACCCAAGGTACCACTGTAACTATATAAACAAAGGACCTACACATGAGGTGTAGACAGGAAAATCCTGCACAAACACTATGCAGTATAATTAAAAGATCATTACCCTCTGCCTCCCTTTCTTTCTCCCCTTCCCCAAAGTCTATCACAATAGTGTCTCATATGGAATGTAAACTGCTCAAAAAAGATTGTATGAATTAAAAGTGGAGACAGTATATGTACTTTTCCTTGTTTATGTAAAAAAACAAAACAAAACTATATGCTACTCCTCTAAACGTTTCACTGTCTTCCTCCTAACGTTTCAGGCAGCTGCGGCAGAAGATGATGCAGGCTTTTAACCTTTCAGTTTGTATCCCCTTTGCTATGCATCTGAGGACCACTTTATTTGTCACATTTTGTTTTCATACACAGAGCTATTCTCCACTGCCAACATCCTGTGAGTTTGCTGCACGCTATTGAGATACTACAAAGAGGTGGCTAGGTTTTACATCTCGAAGGCAAGGACAGAGATCTGTGGGGGAAATGGGGAAGAAAGAATGACATAGCAAGGAGCAGGTTTTCCTGATGAAAAGCATCAAACCCAAAGATGCTGCTTTACACTTTTAATGTTTAATGGGCAGAAAAGGTCAAGAGTTGGTAATTACAGAAATAACCTAGAATTAATCAGATGCTGTCAGCAGAAGAGGTCAAGGGTGAAGGCAATGGAATTTTGAATGCCGGCCTTGTTAGGGATTGGGATCTCACAGCATGTTTGCAAAGAAATCCTGTTGTTGACTACAGTTCACTGGATACAAAGAAGGTATCAGAGGTGAAAATTCAGCTTTGTATTCTGTGAATATTTGGCCAGCATAGCATAGTACTAAAGACACTGGGCCATAAGACCCCAAGTTCAAATGTCACCTCCGCCTTAGGCAAGTCAATCTTTTACCAATCACCAACCTATTGCCTCATATGCTACTATTGTTATTTTCATTTTGATTTACTAAGGTCTCAGGGCAAGCCACAACAATTTAAAATGCAACCTTAACAACAGTTAAAAAGAAAACAACAATTACAATGATTTTATTATATGTATGAGACGAGTATGGTGTTGATGATAATAATAATACTAGTTTGTTATAAGAACTAGTTAAATGTTACATGTCCATTAAGCACGATCACTTTTGCAAAATTTGTAATATATTGAACTACTTCAGCTGTTTATCAAAATTGGCACTCTCTCCCCACACTGCATTTCTCAAAATTGATTGCTTTATTTCTGTATTTATTTCTAA